AGGGTCTCACTATAGAGCCCAGACGGGCCTTGAACTCTCTTGCCTCAGCCTCCTGAGTGCTGGGATGACAGGCATGCAACACCAGGCCAGGAAGGAGCATGCTCTCAAGCCCAAAAATAGAAATGGGCTTGCAAAGGGGAAGTAAATGACCGTGAGGGGTGGGAGGAGAGGGAGACCTGTGCGGGAGCTGCTGAAGATCACCGGCCAACTCCGGTGTCATTTCAAAGGGTCGATGAGGTCTTCAGTCCATTTAGTCCCAAAGAAACCCCCAGAGCAGACCTTCAGTGACCAAGTGCCTGCGAGGGTCAGTGAAAGTGTGCAGACCACTGACTGGTACATGACAGTAAGTGGGAGGAGAAAAATCAACAGGAAAGAAAATTCCCAGATTGCCCAGCTTGAGGGTTTGTAGTACTAAGTTCAGGAAGGATGGGAAGAAACTGTTCTTAGAGTTCTGCCTTGTTATGCAAACTTCACCTCAACACCAGGCTAAAAGGAACGCCTCTTACCCAGTTACCCAAGGTTTCCTTTCTGATTCTAAGACCAAATGAAAATGTTCAGCTCTAGGGCTGGGAACTGACCTGCCCAAGGTCTCAAGCCAGGACAGAGACCACACAAGAAGCTGGGCATAGTGGCGCAGGCCTGGAATCCCAGCACTCGGAGGACAAGGCCCAAGTGTTACAGGCAGCTGAATGACACAGAAATACGAGAGCCAACATGAAAGAAGATAAAGTACGCATTTGCTGGGGGCCAGGCATCAGGACAAAGGACTAAACAAATGCACCCATACACCTCCCTAGGTGTAAATTTCAGAGATTGATATTCTGAACAGGTAGCGATCACCTTGAAGAGTCCCCAACCCACCCCCTACAGGAAAAGCCCCTGTTCTGTATTCATGCCCGGTTGCTTCCTGACTCGCTTCCCCATTTGATCCCAGTTTAATCAATTCTACCTGCACAATTCTTATTGGCTGGCCATAGTTTTGTCCATTTTTCCCCACCTTCCACCTGCCTCACTTGGAGGTTTTGCTCTATAAAAGTCCCTAGA